TTTGACATTTTTATGCACTGAGATAGAACAAAGCGAAACATTTAGGAGCTCTCTCCCTGGCTGCAGCCTCCATGGTTTTTAGAAGATTACAAAATAAGACAGTCTTTCTGAAGTGAACAAAAAGAAGAAAACTAATGATGTTTTTTCGCCTTTTATCTGTAGCGCCAAAATGTTTTTTTTCTTTTGAGGAATCTAAGTTGGAGCTTCCATTTGATGTGGAGCTAATGGCCGAGAGAGGGATTCTTTTTCTGTGCGTTTCCTCTCTCAAGATAAGAAGCCTATTTTTTTTCATACCTTAAATCTTCACGGCCCAGCGGGATGGAAAAAAAGATGACAGTGAGATTGCGAGAAGTTGAAAGCATGTCCAAGTCTTAACGACTGATAAGACCATCTCGGTAGCTGACAATTTTGGAGGGAGATTGAGAAAAGCGTAGCTGTTACATCAGTCTCTTGTTTTGCTTCAACACTTCGCAGGATCCTTAACAGCTGTAGTGATGTGCAACGAGATGTGCTGACAAATATGCAAAGGTATAAACCGGCGTAGGGAAATGAAAGAGCCAAAGAACTGCAGGTAATAGGAAACAAATTGGAGAATGGGGAAAAAAGAAAGCAGGGAAGAAATGTAGATTTAGTTGCAGCACAAATATCCGTACACTGAAAAAACTGAAACGTTGACTTTAATTAAATGTATTATGTCAACAGATTTCACATAACTGTATTAGGTTAGTTGAAAGCAATAATATGAAGTTGATTAAAACATACAGTAATAGGTTCAACTTAATATTATTGCTTTTAACTAACCTGATACAGTTATGTGGAATAATTTAATTAAATTCAGCGTTTCAGTTTTTTCAGTGTATATACATCCACACAGCTCATGTCATTAAAATAATTGTTGATAGGACACAAAGCTTGTGTATTTTTAATGGACATAAACAGTCAACAACAGGACTAGCTAAGGCCAGGTTTGTTGGTCTGTGGAGGTTCCAAATTATTTATTCCTTGATAAATATTTTTATATTTTTGGATCTGGCTTTGTGCTTGTTGGAGATATGCCCCCCTGGCAACTGAAGAGCTACGTTGGAGTGAAATTAATAAATAAAAATAGGTCTCAGTACACTTGGCACTGTCTGCCTGCAATCCTTGCCATTTTTTGCGCTGTGTTGCCATGAAGACGTGCATATCTTTGTGTCTGTTTTGCACCATCTGTTCCTGGAAATACTAATGTTGGAGATGCTTTGGATTGTGACCAATGGGGAAATGCACGATAGAACTCACAAACGCTGTATTTAGCCGAGTGTACCGCACCTGTTGTTATGTTGAGGCCACATGTGAACAAAGCGGGGGCCCCATTCCTGGACCCTTATCCTGTCCTTATTTGTGCTTTAGCCCTAATATAGCATTCGATCCCTATCAATGTTATACAATAGACTGATTTAGAGCTAGGACAAATGAACAAATTCCTTTATTCTGATAATGGTAATTTCATATCTCCATAAAGATACAAATTATGATATAGCAAGTTTTCTATTTAAATTAATCAAATTGTCTATAAGGGAATAATCACATGGTAAAGCCATGTCCATAGTCTTCAGTACTATTTAAGGTATTTTTTGTACTATGCCATTCATTCAGTCTCCCCCACAGAGCTGCCAGAGAGCCATATAGTTGGGATGTTTACTTGGAGGAAATACAAAAATGTGAACAAAGACACATGTGGATTGTCTGTAACACAATAGCAAAGTGCAGTAAAAACCAAATAATATGACAAAGAAAGGAGAATTCAAGTTGTTGAATGAAAATAGGGCATATGTTTTATAAAGGCAGAAATGTGTTCATGGTGAGAATGTAATTTCCCATATTACACTGGTTGTTTACTGGCTCAGCCTTTGAGTGCAGGCTCCATTCAGCAGAGCCACCAGCCGTCTACAGTTTGGAATTAAAGGATTTGAGGCAAGAGGCCAGGGTCGAGTAAGTTGACTTTGTACCGCCTAAATGTGACTTAAAGGACCAGAAGCATCTCTGCTTTTTCTGCAGCGTGTTAGTAAGACGGATTCATGTTTATCTAAATACTTAGTTTCTTATTTTGTTGAAGGACAATTGCGGAAAATATGTATCTACATACTTAACTTAGTATATTTTTGTAGTTTCATTCAGCCGGCCTGCTCTATAGATCTCAGTGTGGAGCATTAGTGGTCAGCAAGTATTTACTCATTCACTGTACTTAAGTACAACTTTACTTTAGTATTGCCATTTCCTTCTAAGGCACTATAATTACGAGGCAAATATTGTACTGTATATAGTGGTATATTGTAACATAGTTTAAGGGGACCTATCATGCAAAATGCACTTTTGTACGTCTTTTATACATGAATATGTGTCCCCGGTGTTCCAGGGAACTCACCAAGTGTCAGAAAACACAACCCTCTCTATTTTCCTCCATACCCAAATCTCTAAAAAAGGGGCTGCAACGGATCTGATAAAAACTGATCCAGATTTGAACACTTTACTGACATCAGGAAAGTGGCGCTACGGCTATTGGGCCAACTCCACCAATCAGGAGGAGACAGCCACGGCCATTGCCATTCGAAAGCGCTGGAGACGCTGTAGTACATATGCCAGGCCTGTAGGTGGTGCTGTTCTCACAGAATCAGGCCTTGCAAAAACAGGGGTAAAAAAAGTGCAAATTGAGTGAAATGAGGCATGGCTAAAATGCATGATCTGTTTGCTATTTTGAAAAAAAAAAAGTATAAATATGCCTTATATAGGTATGGTTCTACACTATATTATTAAAATATAGCATGATAGGTCCACTTTAAAGGATCCCTATTGTGCATTTTGGGGATTTCCCTTTCCTGTAGTGTTGGTTTTAGTGCATGCAAATGGTCTGCAAAGACTAAAATCCCAAAGTTCCCTCCAGAGGGAGTTTCTCTCACACACACAGCCTGAAACGCCTCGATTGGACTCCTTTTTTTTTACCTCCATAGCATAGCTTCTTCACTACGTAACAGCACTCCAACACATTGTACGTGATAGACTAAGGGGCGGGACATCTCCAAGATGTTAACCAATCACAACAGAGCCGATCAGCTAACCAATCAGAGCAGACTGGGCTCTGGTTTCAGACAGAGGGTGAAAAGAGGTGCTGCAGCACAGGCAGTATGAGACAAATAAAGAGCTTTCTGAACATTAAAGCTTGGAGACATGTCACAGTAGAGACACTAAATACAAATATGGAACCTGGAAATTAGCATAATATGTCCTCGACATTAATAATGATAACGTGCTGCTGTTTTGCAGAATGAGTACTTTTATTTAAGTACAATTTTAAGTTAGTACTTTTGCACCTTAAAGGGGACCTATCATGCAAAATGCACTTTTGTACGTCTTTTATACATGAATATGTGTCCCCGGTGTTCCAGGGAACTCACCAAGTGTCAGAAAACACAACCCTCTCTATTTTCCTCCATACCCAAATCTCTAAAAAAGGGGCTGCAACGGATCTGATAAAAACTGATCCAGATTTGAACACTTTCCTGACGTCAGGACAGTGGCGCTACGGCTATTGGGCCAACTCCACCAATCAGGAGGAGACAACCACGGCATTGCCGTTCGAAAGCGCTGGAGACGCTATAGTACATATGCCAGGCCTCTAGATGGTGCTGTTGCTCACAGAATCAACCCTTGCAAAAACAGAGCTATAAATTGTCAAATTGAGCGAAATGAGGCATGGCTAAAATGCATGATCTGTTTGGTATTTTGAAAAAAAAAAAGTATAAATATGCCTTATATAGGTATGGTCCTACACTATATTATTCAAATATAGCATGATAGGTCCACTTTAAAGTACATTTTGAATTGAGGACTTCTACTTATAGCAGAGTTTTTCTTAACCGTAGTTTTACTACTTTTACTTTTAATTGAATATCTTCTAAAATATTTGTATTTGTTATTTCTTCCACCGCTGGTGATTGGGAAGAATGAAGATATAAAACGTATTTTATCATGGAATATCAATATTTAAAAACCAACCCTAACTGTACTGCAGCCCCGCAGCCAGCAGAGGGAGTGCTAACCTCAACCCCCAACATGAATACATAATTGAGGCTCACCAGGTCAGCGATACACAGTAACTATTAACTCATCAAAATGTATTTTTATTTAAGAATAACTTGACTCAGGCTATGCGATTATTACCCACCATGTTTGATATCAGCACTTCATATGTTAGGTATCACATTTCTAATGCACTTAGAATATCATTTAATTTCCCAGTGGTGTGTTGAGAGGTCAGAGGGTGAAAGCTTTATCGATTTTTGTCATGGGAAGAAGAGGCACAATGCCGATGGAGGAACAGGGTCATCATTATAAATACACTCTTTCCCCCTGTGCTGCTCCCTTAGGGGTTTAATAAGGACACAGTGAGAGTGTGTGTTCCTGTGCCTTGATAGCAGGATACAATAAATCATTCATCAAGGTTACATTTGATTCACTTTCAACACACTTTTAAATATTAAATACTTCCCTGATTTGGGAATTCTGCCTTGAATAAAATGATATTGGATTATGAAATACACTTAAAACAAGGCGTTTGATTGGTGCAGCCAGTTTGATTAATTTAAGATTGAATTATGGGAATATTAAAACGTTCCATTCCATAGTTTGCAGCAGTTTTATTATATGCTTTTAACTTGTATGAGGCAGCCTGGATCTTTTTTCATAAGGGAAGAGCTTGCTGAAGTGGAGCCTCGTGTTGTGAATGTGTCCTTATGCGGTTAAACGGAGCCTGACTCGCAGGAATCTCTGCACAACAGTAAAAAGCTTCTGACTGGTTAGAAAAAAGGCAAACCAGCTCCGCGCGCAGAGACGCACGGCGCCTCATCCAACCAGCGCCAGTCCCATAAACCAGGGGGTAAAACTACGCGTTCAAACCAGCAAAGTGACTGCAACTGGAGGACGCGTTTCTCTTTTGGATTATTTCTCTCCATTCAGCCGCAGAACTATTCTTCTCCCGAAGTGAAAGTAAACGATCACAGATGAATTCTCAGCATTTGGAAGTGGGTGAAAATCCAAGTGGCGTTGTGTGGATTACTTCTCGAGTTACGATGCATCCGAACTTTGATTCGAATATAGATTCACTCTCCGAGGAGTAAGAGTATTATCTGTGTTATTGCGGAGTTCAGGAACTCTTCCTTCACCCGGATCCCCATCACCCGTGGAAGTTGCGATTTAGATGAAATAGACAACAACGTGCATTCTAACTGGATTTACACCAGCTGCTCTTGAATGATGCCTGCGTGTCTGACGGGGATTTACTGTCTACTGGCATTTCTACACATTTGTTCAGGTATGGTTACTTACTCCCAAGACAGATTTCCTTATGTGTTTCAGGGACGTTTTACAATAGCTGTTAATGTGATGGAATAGGGGTGATGAATTTGCTAAGTTTGATCCATCAAGCCCACCTGAGGGTATTTCTGTCACCTTTTCCTCAGCAGAATCTGTAGGTACCCCCTTGACCCATGCTGCGTTCTTGTTGAAAGTGACCCATTTATCCACATGTTCTGCTGCAGTACAGCAACACAGCCTTTTACAAGCAGCTCTTATCACACCGGTGGACATGAATCTACAATGAGGGTGCAAAGAGCAAGAACAGAGTGATAGAGTGGGTATATGTAAGGGCATGTTTAATACCGTCAACGGCATGATCAAATGCATGAGGCGTGTCAAAGTAGGACATTGTTGGTTATCATCCTCAGTCAATGGGTTCATACATTACATGAGTTGCAGGAGGAACACTTGGATAGAGCCTTTGTACCAGTCTGACCAGTGAGGATGTGTTACTTCTAATGGATGGAAACAAAGTAATCCATGCTGTGACAATTGTATGCATGGTACAATCACTATAGATCATTCTGAAGGAAATTTAATTTTTTGTTGTGGAAAAAAACTGAGTTAACTTTGGTCTTTTGGTATTTTAACTTTTTCTTATATTTTGTCACTTCATTTTTGAGTACGCCTACACTGTATACAGTATGCTACAGCCTGGCTGCATCTATTACCATTATTATCATTGTCTAATTTATTGATTAAATTATTATTTATTGATCTATTTGGTCTATAAATTACTTTAATTTTGTGAACAAATTGTGTAAAATGATGATCAGTGATTTCCAAAGCCCATAATGACGTCCTCAGATGTATCTTTTTCTCCACAACTCAAATATATTTAGTGTACTGTCAAAGAGGAGTAAAAAAGAAGAACAATATTCAAAGTTAAGATGCTGGAATGGAGGGTAAGGGTAAGGTTTAGTTCTTAAAGTTTTTTCTTAAAAATGAATTAAAGCACTAAATTGATTATTGAAATAGTTAGCAAACCATTAAATAGTCCACAACTGATCAATTAATTTATACATTTTCTGATGTAATTGCTTACCAACACGTGAGACAGACAAAAACAAACTTTGGATTATCCATTATGCTGGTGCTGTGTCTCTGTTGGAGGGTCAAGGTTCACTCTGGGAAAATGAACTCAAGCATAACATTGATATAACACTGATACTGCAGGTGGAGGTTGGGTGCACATCAGCAAAGAAAAGTTATTGTTGGAGTGCTGACAGCGTACTCAGGTTCATCTATATTTTATTGGCTCAGGCAGCATCACCACCTCCACCCAAGACACACTAATATAACGCATCATTTAGTACAAGGCTGCCCCCTCTCAGTCAATAATTCAAGTCATTAGTGGTTTTGTTCTTAGTTGACAAAGATGACTTTAGTTGATAAGTCATTTATTTCAAAATGACATATAAGCACGTCTCTGTTAAATTGAAATGTGAGCTTTTGCTGGATTTTCCGAGGAGAAACTGTCGATTAAATCAACCAATCGATTAGTCGACAAAATCCTTTGAGTCATAGTCACTTAAAAATGCATTTATAGGAAACAACCGTAACACAGTTGCAATAATATAGTAATAGTAGGTAGCTTGAGGCAAGATATAAGATGACAAATTATTTTAACCATACACCTGCTGTGGGTAAACACGGCCCACAAAACATATTTTGAGTTAAACACAAGGAACAATACCATAAATAAACACTTTCTTTCTTATATTTCCACATATATTTCTCAAATTCTAAGCTATTACTGTAATTGTAAAGTAGTCATTTATGTCACAACTTTCAGTAAATAATCTATCAAAACGCCAATGAGTCTCTTCTTGGAACCACAGGGAAAGGAAAATACCGAATCACAAAGGTTTTTAGAAATTCGAAGAGTCCCTCAAATTCCCCACTGGCGCCAGTCTTGTTCACTCTGTAACACAAAGACAGCTGTCAGTAACATTAGCAGTGGTCACGGACTGAAAAAATAACAATATATTTTCAGCACTAGAGCTTTCATAAGTGTCTGTCTCTGAGTGATGGCTTTATTTGGCACTGGACTTCTTTTCTTTTACAGTGTAGAGGCAGCTTTTTCCATAGTTTATGCTCAAATGTGGGTTAACCCTTATTTGGTTTGACACATTATTTGAAATTAACATATTATGAGTGTTTTTTTATGTAACATTTTCCAAACAAAGATGAAACACCAAATTCCTTTTTGTGACCAGAAGCTGCTCAGTGTCAACATGTGGATTCAGCCTTTTAGCAACTGTTTTCTTTCATTTCCGTAGTGGTAACTCAAACGAAAGAAACACACTTAAGTTTGCAATTCCACATGAAGAGCATGAAAATGTGTATGACACCAATTTTCCAGTTCGTTTTCTCTCTAAATTTCCCAACTGACAAACATAGTAAGCATGCAATCCTGAGCATTTCAAAAGTTCTGAAGTGGATTGGTGCTATTCTATACAAATCAGGAGAGTTCTCTAATCCTTTGACAGAGAATATGACGAATGCACACCTGACATGAAACAACCACTTTTCCCAAGCCCAGACAATAATAGAAAAAAAATCAGCAGAATGTACATCCTTGATTGTGTTTACCACATCCCACCATAGATTATAGGGATTTCTTACATTATATCCAGGATAGCTGCCAGGTTTACATGCCTGCCCTTGAAAAAACTCCATGCCTAACAAATTGCAATCAGAATGATTACATGTTTTTTCCAGCTTAATTGTGTTTAATGTACACAAACTCATTTAGTTGTAAAGCTTCTTGACTGTAACAGAAAAACGTACAAAGGTCCATCATTAAAACTGCAAGCTGTTAGAGCCGTACTGTTAAGTGACTTCATAGCCCTCTGAACTGAGGGAAACCTGCAACTCCCCTTCGCTGGGACTTTATTCTCTGCATAATAAATCTGCCGACGGTAATTGGATGATACATAATAATCTAAATGACGGCCATTAAAAGCACATGCTCGTGTCGAGATGGCTTTGTCCCTTTCATCCTGCGCATCGAAATTATGCATCCCCAGAGTGATCGGCCTCGCCATTCCACCTGCTTTGTTTGATGGTCTGTAAACACTGTCTCTAAAGGAACCATGGGAAAATAAAAGAACAACAGGCTCATCCTGTTGTTCTTTTTAATGCTGGTTTAGCTTCCAACAGGATTTGAATGCTTTGTTAACACTCCAAGTTCTGCCAGGGCTGATGGGATTAATATCTTAATAATAACCAAACTACTGTAGCTAAGCTAATAACTAGGCTAATTACTTTAGCAATAAGTGACCGAGGCCCTTTGAGGCTTATTTTATCTTTATAGACCCCCTCGTCCATGTGTTATCATTGGAGGAGCAAGTACAAGAGGGGCTCAGAGACCTGCAGAACACAGCCTAATTCCATCAGTGGCGTGTGCAGCAGCTCCATTGGGACATGTGATTGAGACATCTGGCCGGTGTGCTCGAGTTAGTTTAAAAAAGGTCAGAGTTCACGTGTACCTACTCATGCTGTTTGGCGATTGACACTCGTGGCTGCGAGAGGTTGCCCGTTGTGACCCAAAATACTGGATACAGAACGCCGGACTTTAAGTAATGATGGCTTGATTGTGGGGGAGCTGGCCCGCTGCGTCCTCCTCTAAGCTAACAAGACTCCCTGCAGTCTTTGTGGTGGTGACAGTGATGAGCCCAGTCCCACTGCTAATGAGCACTCCTTCGCCATGGATGATGGGGCTGATGGGACATCTTTGCACACTGGCGAGAATTCCTTTGTTTGTGGGATGGAATTGTCAAATTGCTTATTTCCTTCCTTAGAGGTAATACAACTAATACAGTAAGCTTCACTGGAGACCATTTTGGTTGGAAAAGCATCCTCTTTAATGTTGTTTTTGTTGGAAAATGTGAAAGACTCAAGGTGTGGCTCATTAACTGCTTCACACACACTGACTGAAAATGTGTAGAAACGACTCTGTTATTCAAGTGGTGCTCTGGTTTCTTGCTAATTTAGTATGTGCTTTTTTGTTCTTTATAGCTGGCAGGAACTCTGCAGCACACAGTGCTTTTTCTGCTTTGAATGGCTTAAAGGCTTTGGAGCAATTTATATTTCTCTCACCCATGCTTCAAACTTGGTTGTAGGTGTATTTCTAGACTTTAAGCCATTTTTGTCTTTATATTTTGAAAAGGTTTATTGGACAAACACCTTTAAGCCTTAAATGATGTGTTCGTTGTTACCCAGAGCATCCACAGACTCAGTCAAGATGAGGTTATGCCAAAGGAATGTTGTTTGATACAGGTGTTTTCGAGGTCATGATACCCATAAAAAAAGTGTGAACTTAGGTCCCCAGGAACATATCTGGCAGAAAAACCGAGACTGTATCCCTGTAGTCCCTCAAACCCCTGCAGACGTTGCTGCAATTGTTTGCTTCTGACTGTCTGAATGTGCATACATGCATACATAATGGTGTTAGCGCAAGCTCGATTTTTAAATGTGTGTTTTCGGATTGTGTGCTGAAAGCTGCGTTTCATGATTGCTTCCCTTGTTTACTCACTGGTTTCCTGTGGTGCCGTGAGGCCGAGGGGTGCTGCCAACCCTGGGGAAGGGAAGCTACTGAGAGCGTTAACAAGCGCCCGCAGGCCCGGAGTTCACAGGTCATCAGATCAGACCTCCTCACAGACATATATATATACGTACACACACAACTCCTCATTTTCAGGATGATCAATAACAGATTGCTTGCCCCACAAAAGGTAGCATTTTCCTTGCCTGAAGGATCCTCCCACACCTATTCTACTTCTTTCAACCTCATCTTTAAAAATAGAATCACAGCATTTTTTCATTTCTTTTCTCCATCTATTTTTGTTGTTTTTATTGGCAATGTTTTATTAAAGCACAGTATAGACCTCTTTAGGCGCAACTACACAATGCAACGTCAATTCGATGATCGTCAAACAAATAAACAGCTAT